GCGACTTTTTTTCATTCTTGTACAGTAGTTAGCAATCACAACAAGAAATAAATCACAAACATTCAATTATAATTGTAATTACCAAATGTTTTTTTTTTGGTCAATTCTACAAACAAAAAATACAGCAGTCTACAACCAGTTTCGTATAAATAAAAAAAAATGTATAAAAGAGTGTTTCTTGACTTACAGAACTTTTTTTTATTCTTTATTTCTCTCGCTGTAAATTTATACTATAAACAGAAGCATTTCTTTGAGCTTTTAAAAAGAAATATTGTCTGTTTTGTGGTAAACCTTGCAAACTAAAAAATAGAATTTGAATAGCTTAGATTGCATTTATTACTTGAAATTTTATAGCCTCATACAGCTACATAAAATTGAATAAAAAATATCTTCTTCGCCAATTTTAACTATGTGCAGTATGCATCTGTTAAAACTGATACATATTTATAATCTTCTTAAAGCTTGTCCACACTATCACATTTTCTAAAGACTAAAAACTGTGTGACATGTCTAAATATGGTCATGATGACATCACATCATGACCATATAAATAAAATTAGATAGTCTGAACTGGGCTTAATATTCTTCTGAACAGGCCTATAAAATGTCTTGTAATCAGATAGATACTGTAAAACCTCGAATTGAATGGGCTTAATCTCGAGAAGAAAGCCATCTCGAATTGAAGCCCCCTCTTTAGTTTGCAAAATTAGCCGCGAAAAGAAGTCCATGTGCTTCTTTTCAAGATAGCATAGGCTTCTGTCCGAAATAGTAGAGTACATACACTGTACATGAATTAAAAAACTAAATAAGTTAAAAACAAGGTTGGTTTATGCAGTAATTTAGGAGATTTAATGACAGTTAATGCACTCCATGATACAGGTTGATGTCACAGTGATCTTAGTTATTGTTTTATAGTACAAGTTCCCAAAATTTACAACATTCATTTTGAAAAGAAAGCCCCACTCTTTACTTTGCAAAAGTAGCCTCGAAAAAAAGCCTATCCAAAGGTCGCAAAAAAAAAAAGAAGCCCGAGGCTTCAATTCGAGGTTTTACAGTTTATTCGTAGTAAAGCCGGGCTCAAACTGTTGTACGACAGTCGCAATCCAACTCTGCTCCCTGTGAATGGTACACAACGCCATGTCGTCTGCTGATTGTCAATGGCAGTCTGAACAGATCGTCATTAAAAGCAATCCGTCGCGCATGCCTTGGCGTTGTGTTCTCTATGGAACCGTGCGTCAGCTGATGACTGTCAGGTGCGGTAAGTGCCCAGCTTAAGATGTCTACAAATTCGCAAAAAATTAATTTTAAATGAGCAATTATATGTTTTAATTGAATTTGTTGGCGTTTTCAAATATGTTACCAGAGGCAAATGTTTCCTTAATTTAATAACCAATGACATATTAAGAATATATACATTCAAAAATTTAAAGCCTTTTATAATTTAATTTGCTGAGTTGGCTACTAATGTTTGAAGATCATTAATGTCTAGAAAAATAAATAAGTTAGTAACAAAGCCTGTAAAATCTGATAAATGCACATTACTTGGAGGAAAGTTTGAGACGAAACATTTCTTGCAAAACGCTTTAATAATTAAAAGATCTTGACTTTTACCATAAATATTGCTATCACACTATTACTGACAAATAGTGTGCCTTGATATTGCTCAGTGGCAGCAACAGAGATTGTTTGACAAGGGATCCATGGTTCCTGACAGGTGGACCAAACCCACCTCAGCCCAAAAATGGTTAGCCTAAGGTGAGCAAATTTTAAGAACAGGCGCCTGAAAATGGCACTTTCGGACTGTAAAAAATGTTTTTTTTTTTTTTTTCTAAGCGGGGTTTTCCAACGAAATGATCGACTTCTTCTCTGATATGGTCTTGTTGCCCTGGAAACACTGTTGGCAGTAAATTTTTTCAGTGTAGGATAGTTTGGTAAAATTCCATGAATTATTTATAACAATCCTTTAGATCATATTTTGCACATGTGCTATTTTAAAGTCTGTCAGCCTCAATGATCGGTTGCTCTGTGCATCGATAGAAATTTATTGTTCGATTTAAAAAAACCAAAAAAAAAACAAAAAAAAATTAGATTTTGGGCGAACTAAGCGGATACAATTGATTAAAAAGCGATTTTTTAAATAATTTTAGATATTATAGCCATGATTAGGTGGCTATTCAAGAAGTATTGTTGCATTTCAGAAAAAAAATGTGATAAATTCACCATCATTTAGTGCATAATATGTGGTCAAGCAGCATCAGACATGTAAAATATGATCGCCTTAGAAATTATTTTAGTTAGGCAAAGCTGACTTCTGCAAGTTTAAATGTATACCAAATTTGAAGTAGAGATACAGTCTTTAGAACATGATTATGTTTGAAAATAAACATAGCAAGACTAGAAATTTGTTTAAAAAAACAATACTTGGCTGGTTAACAATATATTTTATATTTTGAAGTGCTCAAAATAATTATCAGGTCCATGATATTCATGTTCCTGCAACTCTTTTCTAGAACCATATTGTAAATTAAGTTTCATTTAATTATTACTATTTCTACTTCTGTTCTAAAACATATATACTTTCATTTCAGCATAAATTAAGATAATTTCTTATTATAAAAAATAATTTAACGTAGAAATATAAAAGAATATGTTGCCCTCCAGATTATAAATATTCAAAGACTGCATTTTGGACGTAAAAATACTTATTAAATCTGAATAAATGTTGCTGATCAACAGAATGCCACTGTGCTAAAACTTTGGGAAGAAATGCATAATTTAGTTTGATCACATGATTAATGATTAATTTACTGTACTAAATTCTGATTGGTGCATGCTGTTTTTTGTATCCAACTATCTATCTACAAACCAGACGGTGTGCCAGCTGCATAGAGTAGGTTACAATGGAAAAATTGCAGATATTGTATAGAGCAAGAGCGACTTGGGAAACTCCCCAGTAGTTCCAGCGAAGAAGATGATGATTCAGTCCTGGAAGAAGACAAATAAATCAATCAATCAATCAGTCAACAAATCATCCAAACACATTGAAAGAGTCAAGGACAGATAAAATGAGAATCACAAAAATATATTTGGATAGATACAAATGAATATACCAAGAACACAGATGATGGAAATCATGGGATAACAAACATATGAACCCCCTCCCCACCCTACTATTAAGGAGGCCTTCAGAATATTTACTCAATGACGCTGCCAGATTGGTTTTTCTACTACCTTTATCTTTACATAAAAAATTGATGCTCTGAATTGAAACAATATGTAATAAACTTACTGTGTTTGCCTAAATGAATTGCGTACATCCCATAATTTAATAATGTTGTCACTCCCTCCTGAAGTAAAACAAATTCAATATAAAATGTTAAAATAAAATTGAAGAAAACATCCACTAATCATTTTGTATATAAACCATAACAAAAAAAAAAACCAATTTTTTTTTCTATTTGGTAAATCACATCTGTACTATTAAGCCTGGTCCAGAAAAAAAAAACTTTTATGCCCGTATATAGTCCTGATGTGCCTATATATGGTCATGATGTGATGTTATCATGACCATATTTAGGCATGTCACATGCTTTTGTCAAATAAAATTTGAGTGTCTGGTCAGAGCTTAGTATAAACACTTGATTTTTTTAAGCAAGGAAATACAATAAGCATACATAAATTATAAGCACAAAATATTGCAATTGCCAAGACTGAAAGATTAGAATTTTATATTCATTTTATAAAAAATTGCAACAAATTATATATAATTTAAATAAAATTAAGTTATCAGTTAGAATAACTTTTCTTTACATTCAGAGGGGCACACCTAGTGCTTCAATGATACACCATTGCCTGTTAATCAGAGAATCACTATCAAGAGATGTAATATTTTCATTTCTCTCTATTTCAGAATTCATATCCATAGAAATATATAAAAATATACATAAATACAAGACTCTGGCAGGCAACACGAAAGAAAAAGAAAAAAAGCTATATGTAAGGTATACCTAACCAGTAATCCTAATCGGGCCGCCACTGCTGAACGAGTAATTTGTATTGCCTGACATTTTAATATCTCATTAAATTTAAAAAAAAAAATTGCATACAGATGCTGAGATGACCAGTATAGAAAAAAACATATTAGTAAATATTTAAATATTAATATATTTAAATTTACAGGAATAGGAAATCTTTTGAGAAGAAAACTACAACTACTCTACTACTTGTGAATCTACACTCCAGAAATAATTAAATAATTGGTCATTAAATAAACTATTATGTCACTTTGACATAATACACGTATATCAAACAGATATAAATGCAGACCAAACCATTATTTGAGATGATCTTTTGGATCTGGCAGTATTGTCTTCACAGTGAATATGTTAAACAAACTTTTACCTGAAGCTAACATAGCACAATCAGGACTAAAACTGAGTCCATAGACACTGTTGGAATGACCTCGTAACTCCTTTAAAAGTTGCCCGGTTGCAAGATCCCATAAACGAATTTTTCTGTCTTCTCCTATAATGATCAAAGAAAACAATTTTACTGTAATGGACAAATGAATAATTAAAAAGCTGAGTCAAGGGGATGTAAAAACAGTAGTCAACAGAAATGCAAATATAAGGGTTGTGAAAAGGAATGAAAAAAAGTGTGGACAACAGAAATGCAAAAACAGTAATGAGAACAGGAGTGAGAAACAAAGATGCTAAAATAGGAAACAGGGATTAAAAGAGGGGTGGGATACAAGGACCTAAAAACATGGAAGGGAACTAGAAAGAAAGAATGTGTTTGTGAAAAGGGATGTAAAATCAGGGGTGAGAAAAAGATAAAAAAAAAATAGGGGTCATGAATAAGGATGAGGTAGTAGGAGTGGGGAAGTGGAATAAAAAAAAAATAGGAGTAGGGAAGAAGGACACAAAAATATTAATAAGCAGCAAGGAGGTGTAAGATTCTCCTTGTATGCAGCACAACTCGAAAACTCACCTGCCGAAGCTAGCACCTTTCCATCAGGAGAGAAGGCAAGAGTGTTGATTGAACCCTGTGGGAATATGAAAACAGATTAGACACATGTCTACCCTTATAACCCACTATAAAAAAAGGAACATTAACCTCAAATGTGTAAAGCACGCACCTAGTAGGCGACTGAGATGAACATACACAGAGAGACAGTTAAGAACAACTGTATTGTGAAGCCCTGTCCCTTTAAGCACATACTTAGTAGATACCGGAAGTTGATCGAGGCAATAGCACTTTAAAGGAAATTATACATTAATCACAATCTTTGGGATGATATCAGTGATAATGACATGTTAGACACAGCTGTAGATAATAATGTCTAGGTCACTGAAATAGGCAAGCAAATATTATTTGTACGGTCAACTCGATTTGAAGGAAACAAAACTATTTACAAGTCCAAAAACAATGACGCTTGACCTACACAAAATAAAGTACATGAAATGTCTAAATATCTTTATTATGTAAAAAAACATTCATTTTGTGGTCATTCTTAATTGCCTGTATAAGTACCGTTAAAATATAATTATA